AATCTAGCACAAGATCAACGGTACAGACCAAGCTTTGGTACTGTGTCTTGCGCTGTATAGTTTTCCAGGCCGTAGAGGAAAGCCCTACGATCAAATAGCTCGCGGTTTACTTCTGTTTTCAGAAATGTGAGCCAAAAACAAACGTGTGTCAGGGCTGTTAACGCCTGTCACAATTGTTGAGAGGCTGAACCGTTAGGCGGTTTCTTAAAAAAAGGATGACTATGATAAGTGAAAGGTCAGAGAAGTCAAGAAGTGGAAGTTGAGGTATGTTATGAGTGCTGGTTAATCGGAAAACAAAACTTAAAAAAAGAACTAGTTCTGATTAATCATTTCATCATTGTATGTAATGTCGCGCCGAAGGCTACAATTTCAGTAATTTAGTCCAGCATTCCGTTCATTCCTTAATTGTGTGTATGGTAGGCGGATTCTGTGCTCTCATAGAAAAGTATTGGTTCGTTGAACGTCCTTTTAATTTGTAAACTTTGTATAAAAGTGACGGCCATTCTGTCCCAGTTATTCCAAAGTTCAGAGTTTGACTGCATCCAGTTGGATATTTGAAAACCTAGCTTGTTGTTGTTTTTTTTAAAATCCTGAGCCACAGTCAACGTTCTCTTGATGCCAACTTGAGAGAAATTAGATCAGATAGGTTTTGGCTTCTAAGTAGCGCTTTTGGGGGAAAAAGGGTGTGGGTAGGTGTAGTTACTTATTTTAAAAACTTCTTGCGCACGAGTCCTTTTGCTAATGATAGAGGAGTGTCCGGGTAAACGGTAAATGTCTTTTGCTTCCCTTGTTTGATGTAATGTGGCAGTCGGACAATGATGGCCGAGGAGATGACGGGGGCTATTAGGTTCAGTCAAGTGCAGGCTTTTGTAAAGAGCATCAAAGTTCGGTGTTTTCTTTTTTCCTTTTGATAAACATGCTGCGACAAGGCTCGGTGGTTGGAGGGTGCTTTGGTGTGGTTTGCTTCTTCTTTCCTATCGGACATCTATGGTCCTTGTCTCTCCTCCTCCTTTTTTGTGTTTGTTACTCCCTTGTAACAGCACTCAAATGACCTTATTGTGTTGCAAGTGCCGTAAAGTTTTTACGAAATTAAACCTAGTCGGACGAACGGAAAGTACGCAGGTACTCTCACACCCTCGCCTCTAAAATACTCCCTCTTCTCAAACCTTGGCCCTGTTGGGGGTAACAAAGACTCCTCACGTATCCGGTTTTTATCTCAAGAAAAGACAGGAAGTTGGACAAATAGACCGACAAATTCTTCTGAGGCGTCTAGGTTTATGTGTGTATGATGTCTTTTGATATATTTTAGTTTAGCACCCTTGACTTGACAGAACTCATGAAGCTCAGGGTTTTGGGACTCATAAATTTCACCTGCGTTTCCAATGCTTCGTCTGTTGGTTTTCAGTAAAGTTCGGTCGTAAGGTTGCGTTCTCCTCCTTCTCCTCCCTCACCCGCAAAGTAGGTGTTTTTCACCCCATTGGCACAGCTGCTTGCTTCTAGATCTAGGGCCTGTGTCAAGGCTATTTTAGGTACTAAGAGTTTGGGGGGGGATGTTAGATATAATGGTATGACTGTATGAGCAGATGAAGATGTGTAGGCTAGGTCTGTAGTCCATCAAGACAGAGACAGACCTTTAGTGGTGTGTCATCTTTTCTAAGGCCTAATAATTCAGCTTTCTATTACTATTTGATTTTTATCCTGCTCTTATGCCATTTTAGGTTTAGGCTGAGAGGCTATAGGCCTAAGTCTGAATTTTAACAAGAAAACTTTCAGATGGAAATAATGGGCTGGGGCTATTGTTTGAAACGATATTTCCTAATTGTAGATCTAGTCCTATAGATCTAGATCTACATTTTATTACTAGAGTCTATCTTTAGTTTAGTATAGAATATAGGCTAGTAGAAAAACTTTTCTTTAAATTTCACCAACCGTTTCATTTGTTATTTAAGACAAGTGGACCTAAAACATCCCTTTTCTGTTTCTCCATTTCCTAATGCTGTTTTGATAATTAGAACTATCCTAACTAGGCCCATTGTTCTTGGAAAAAAATACTACAGTGCAAAGTCAGAAAGTGCAGTGTAATTTAATAATAAAATAATGGCTTTGCTGTCTGTTGTGTAATGTTTATGCATGCGTTCAAAGCTTATCAAGTCAAGTGTCTTCTTTCTGCTTGGATTCAGCCCATACACTCTAGGTTGGCTATGAAAGTGAAAGATGAAAAAGGGTAGAAGCACCAACTTCCTAATCAATCTTTGTATTGATTAATGAGTAGAACTCTTAATCAGTCTAAATTATAATATCAATGAGTAATGAGTAGTGAAACATCTATTACAAATTTAAGTCAACTTTATGTCCAACTCAGGCATCCTAATTAAAACGATCAATGTTTTCCTCAAATGAGTTCACACATATTATTCAACTAGTTTGAAATGGTCATTAATACGGGGTGCCTATTACGGCTAGCTAGATAGGGCCGATCACCCGACTCGGTCACGTGAAACTGGCAACAAACACATTTGTTTTTAAGGCGACCGAGTCGGGCGATCGGCCGGATCCGCCGATCCCATCCGTAGTGAGCACCCGGTGTAAGGAAGCAGGAAGTGTCTTTCTTGTAATAAAACAAATATATATATTTTGTTGTTCAGTTCAGTGTGTTTCTACCTTTATATTGAATAAATTCTTGCTTGTGTCTGTTTTCTACTTCATTGTTTTTCCGTTTCAAAAGTTTTCCTTGCTTTCACCACACCATCCCCGTTGTGTTCTTGATCCTTGAGAAAAAATAATTAAGTCTGTAAAAATTGCACTTTGTACCAGCTCCTGTGTGGGTGGGAATCCTGGGGGCGGGAGAAATAATACTTGAGATGGACATTGTCATTTTCTTCTTCCCTGTCCAAGCAGTACCAAAATGCCAGAGCAGGAACTATATTACACCAAGGGATACAGTAGTAAAATATACACCTAGTACCTAGAAAAGATACTCGGCAGAGACTTGGGTTTATACTGCGTGCTCTCTGGGGAGGCTAACCGGTAACAGTGCAGCAGCAACACACCGGGCAAAAAGGTGCACACTCAGTAGTTTGTGAGCTGTGCTGGTAGTGTGCCAGGTATTCGCGTCCGTGGGAGTGCGCGCCGTGTAACACGAACAGGGCTTGTGTTGCAGAGAGAAAGCCAGCCTGATATATCCTGGTCCTGGCTGGCCCTTCCTTCCTACCTGCGTGAGGGACGACTTGCGGTTTGTGCGTGCCCTGTACTGTTGCCGGAGATAGCACGGGAGGGAGGAGGCACACACTCGGATCTACTATTATTACCCGTACAAGAGCACTCTTTTAGCGTGTCACTCTGTAGGCTTTTAACCTTCACGTCATCCGTCTTGTCTTTTCTCCTCCTTTTATCATGACCTAATTTAAATGCAAGTGTAGTGTAAGCCTATGGAGGACACCTGCCTTTTGTTTTCCGAACAGATCTGTTCAGAAACATTTAATTTGGTTGTAGAAATATGTGTACAGTTGAGTATTGGGTTGGGGGGTGTGATCTCAAAGATGCACAGGGTACAGGGGTGTTGGGTATAAACTTATAAAAGAAGAAGAAAAGAGACTTGAGGCCTGATGAGATTATTTAGGCTGGTGGTACATTTCTGCATTGTCATTGTTGAATGATATCGGTACAAATCCAATTCAGTTCTGAATCAGTGACTCTTTTTTTTTAGTCTTACGGGCGTACTGTGTCCTTACAGCTTTTATCATTTTGTATAGCGAATGAAGGTTCGTGCTCGTAACAATATAATAGGAATTCCTGTTGAAGAGAGTGACAGACAGTTATCTGTTTGATCAAAATATGCGATGAAACATATTTTTTTATACTGTTCTCTCTGACTCGGATAAACGTTTGAACAATGGTTATCAATTAGATGCACTGTCATCATCCTTGAAATGCCTTTTAATTTGTGGCTTGTTCATGTCGATGCCGTACCCCACAAAAAAGATCTGATGTTCTTT